TCAATGCGTTGTAACCAGGTGGTATATAACCAGTAATCAAATTAGTGGCAGCAAATGTATAAAAATTCACATAATATGGGTTCCTAGTTAAATGAAAAGGTAAGCAACTTGAATAAAACATTCATACAATGTGGGAGTGAAATTCTTCCCGAGCGCCCAAGTTAAAAGCTTTTTCCAAAGCACTAGTTTTAGTTGTCTTCTTTTTTCTTACTTCAAAACCTTCAATTCTAAGTATTCCAGTTTCTGATATCCCCATACTCCTAGTTGTAGGGGGTTGGAAAGAGGAAGGTGGCAAAGGAACTTTCTTGGGCATAGTCATTTTAACCCAATTTTTTGTTTCTTCAATTAACAAGATTTTGAGGAGTCATTTTAGAGCACACTCTAATCCCATGACCATAAATTTTCAATAAATGTGCCTTAACACGAAAATATGATCCACTGTGCCAATTCTAACAGAAATTGCATTGGAATCTAATATTTTCACCTTCTTTCCCCATTTTTTCTACTTCAGTAACATAACCCCAAAGAGGAGCATTATCATCTTGAGTGGGAGTGCCACTTCCACTTTCACTGGTTGAGCCCATACTTTCCGTACTCGTACTCATTCTCCTATAATTATTAATTTAATAAAATGAATCAGCAGTGCAGTAAAATTCAAGGACATCCATCTTATTGTTCTTCTAATTTTTTGAACCAGGCATAATGTATACAGAAACTTGGAATTAGTTCCTCCAAGATATCTAGTTCATTGTGTTTCTATTGATTCAAGTGCATAAATTTACACAGGACATCTAAAATAGCAGTGCAAAAACCCTAATCCAAGGCCTCAAAAAAAAAAAAAAACCTTAATTGCAAATGTAAATTGCCCCCCCCCTAAAAAAAAAAAAACCCTAATTGCAAACCCTACTTCAAGACTCAAAAAGAGTGCTAATCACCGGGAAAAGGCAAAAGAGACGATAGAGAAAGAGAGGAGACACCTGTAGTCAAAAGATGTTATCTGCATCAAATACAAGTTGTTGGAGGGGGGTGTGTGAGAGAGAGAGAGTCGACTGAGGGGAGACTGTTGAATAAGAGAAGAAGTCAGAGTTTTGTAACTTTATTATTATTATTTTTTTTTTGCAAATAAGAGCCCAAACATATTTGCTCTTGTGCCCCTGTGCTTTTTAAAAAATTCAAGTACCTCGCCGTATCCCTATGCGTATTCCATTCGTATCCAAAGTGTATTTGGATATATCTGAAATTCAAATTTATTTTTTAAATTTTAGGATACTTCCTTGCCATATTGGATACGTATCCTGCCGTATCGGATGCGTATTCATATCCGAAAAGTATCTGATACCGATATTTTGACCATTTTGAAGTATCCGTGCTTCATAGGTGATCAAGGAACCACTCATGCAAAATAAAAGAGAAGGGTCTGAGTTGGAGTTGATAAACCCATAAGTGTGAAGATGTGTAGTGAATCTCTCAAACCAAGCCCTAGGGGCTTGTTTAAGTCCATAAATGGACTTATGTAACCTGGATACATAGCGAGGAAAAGAGGGATCAATGTAGCCAGGAGGTTGACTCATATTAACCTCCTCTTTTAAGTTGCCTTGAAGAAATGTATTCTTTACATCAAGTTGCCTACTTGCCTAAGATGCCATTTAAACTGAACAGCCAGCGGCAGAATTAACCTAACTGTAGCGTGTTTCACCACAGGGCTAAATATGTCATCATATTCCAAAACGGCTTCTTGATGAAAGCCCTTGGCTGCTGGCTTTGTACCTAGAGATAGAACCATTGGGATGTTGTTTGAGCTTGTATACCCACTTACATCCTATAGTGTTTTTGTGTGAGGGAGGATACACCCGTTACCAATTGCCTTGTTGCTGCAGGGATTGAAATTTTTCTGTCATGGCTTGACACCATTCAGAGTATTTGAAGGCGATAGGGAAGGTTGTAGGTTCAAAGGAAGAGGCATGAGCTAGCAAGATTTTGGGTCTAAAAATACCAGATTTGGATCTGATTTGCATAGGGTGGATATTTAATGGTGGGATTTTCTGGTCTGAAGTGGAAGAAGTAGAGGTTGGAGGGAAAGAATGAACTGGACTAGAAGGAGAAGGCACATCTGTAGGTGATGAAGGACTAGAACTAGGAGAGTTGGATGGAGACAAAGGAGCATACTGAGAGAGTATATATGGCAAATGTAAAGAGTTGGGAGTGTGTTTAGGAGCTGTGGTTGTTGAATCTTATGAAACAGGTGGTGGTGCAAGGATTGAAGCAGAATTATCAGAGATGTGGGAAGAGTATTTTGGTGAAATAGAGTTGGAGTTAGCAAAGGGAAAGTGATTTTCATCAAAGATGACGTCTCTGGATATATATACTCTATATGAATCTGGTTGAAAGCACAAGTTGCCCTTGTGATCTAGAGTATATCCAAGAAAAATGCACCGAGTTGTTCCATGCTGTAACTTAGTTTTGTTATATGGTCTCAAGTAGGGATAGCATGCCCATCTGAAAGTCTATAAGCCTAAGTAATCTGGTAGTAAACCAAATAACAGGTGATAAGGGAACTGATTTGCAGTAATAGGCTAGATAGTCTGTTTATGAGGAATGTAGCACTGGCAAAAGCATGATACCAAAACTTGTTTGGGAAATAAGCACTTGGATATAAGAGTAACTTCTGTATCCACAATATGTATGTGCTTCCTCTCAGCTATTCCATTATGTAGAGGAGTATAGGGGCATTATCTTTGATGTTGGATCCCATATGTTTCTAAGAAGTGCTGCATTGAACTGTTGCAAAATTCACCACCTCCATCACTGTGCAATTTCTTGACTTTGATTGACAATGAATTTTCAACATAACTCTTGAACTTATGAAAAATATTAGACTTCAGATTTATGTTTACTAATGGAAACAACCAAGTGAATTTACTGCTGTCATCTATGGAGGATACATAGTAAAGAAAATCATGCAATGAGTGCTCATGAGATGGTCCCCAACCATCACTGTGTATCAATTCAAGAGGATGGAGTGAGACAGTTTTAGAGGGTTTAAAAGTGAGTCTTGTCATGTTACCATAAAGGCAAGGTTTGCATATCCAAGCAGATGATTGTCAATTAGGAAAAGAAATTTTAGAGTCTCTAAGTGCTTGTTTAACAGTAACATCAGGAGAATAGCGTAATCTGTCATGCCATGTTTGAAGAGTGACTTTGCTTTGTTGGTGTGCTGCTACTGAAGAAAAGAGTAACTTTAATTGGATAGAGGCCATTTTTAGTCCTGCCATGGTAGAGAATTCTCCAGGTGTTGTTCTGACTTTGGAATTCAAAAGAATCAAAGATAAACCAACAATTATTATCCAAACAGGATTGATCAACAGACAGCATAATTGAGGAACATGAAGTACTCCGTCCAGGAGGAATGGATGTATATTCGTATGAAGAAGAGTTTGACCTGTATGAGCTATTGGTAAGTTCTCGCCTTTGCCAACAGATGTAGCTTTTGAACCTTGATATGCATCAGATAGAGATAATTTGTTCAGATCTGAAGTAATGAGGGCTTGCTTCTGTGATCCAAACATTATCAGAAGGTTGATTTGCACAATAAGAAGCAGCCATAGCAGTGAGTTTTTGAGAAGGATTACTTCCCTGATAAGAGAAGTCCATTGATAGCAATTGATAGCAGAATGACAAGGCTTGCCATAGATATGACAAATAATTTGTCCATGTGGTGCTTGAGGTCCTTGTGAGTTATTCTTCTAGAATTGAGATGTAGGATACTTTGATCCAGATTATTGAAAATTGTTTGGATTTGGGACAAAACCTGAATTGAAGCCTTTTTTGAAGTTATTTATCCTACCACCTTGAGTGTTATGCCTTCCACGCCCTCTGTTTCCACTTGCATAACCTCTTGCACGATTGCCAGAATTTCCATAGGGTTTAGGTTGAAAAGCAACCATTGCTGTAGGTAATTGCTGCAAGTGAGGTTGCTTATCAACTTCCTCTATGGTGTTCTCTTCGGATTGAAGTAGAACATGTAATTCTTCAAGTGTAATTTGATGTGATCTTGTCCTAATATAAGTGCAATTGAACTGCTGGTAAACCATTTAAGGTGTAAATCAGAATGTCTTCATCACCAATTTGAATGGAGACTGGTGTAAGCTTATTCCTAGCTTCTTTGATTTTTTTGGATATACTGGTCGATCATATCAGCTCCTTTGCGATTAGTTTGCAGATTTGTTTTTACCTTCATATATTTGCTCGAGAAAGAGAAGCAAACCTTCTCTCCAACGCTTCCCATATTTCTTTGTAAGTTGAGTAGCCAATGATACAAGACAAAGCTGTTGAAGATAAAGTAGCATTAATCAAGGTGACTAGTGCTTGATCCACTGTAATCCATGACTGAAATACTGGATTGATAAGGACATGGATTTGAGTCATCCACATACCCTAGGAGTGAATGCGTTCTAGGAATGGGTGTAATTTGATACTTCCATGGTATATAATTCAAAGAATCCAATCTTAAGGAGATTAGATTGCAGATGTTTGATAGTAGAAAAATAGGTGAAGGAAGAAGTGGAGAAGATGCTGTTACGGTAGATGAAGATGATGAAACAGAGGAAGGAAGGAGAAGCTGTTGCAGAAGACGTAGGTCTTAGTCAAGGCTTTGATACCATGAAGAAAATTTAGCTGCACAAAGAATTTTCAGATCTTATTATTTCAAAAATTGTAAAATGGTACACACACACACACACACACACACACAGAGGGTGACGGTTTGAGGCTTTGAGCTCAACGGAGTGATGTAACTGGATTCTGTTAGACTAGTTGGTTTAGTTTGATCCACATGTGCAGCTCTTGACAACAGTTGCAAGACTGCAAGGATTCTGGTTTTGATTCCTGGTCTTTTGATTGGCTCTCAACTGCTCATCAGTTATAGCTGAATCTTGATCCATGTGAGGTTGATCAGTGATTTTATTATTATTATTATTATTATTATTATTTTGTTCCCGGACATGTTGGGGCCTCACTACCTACACATTGGAGACACTCGACCAACAGGTTGGTATACAGTAAACACTTTTAATGTTCCAATATATATTCGTTTCATCCTAGTTTCTTTAAAAACTCACGAACAGAGAATAATTGTCTTGGTCCATAAAACATACTCAAGCCTCAAACAGAGTGCTGCTGGCCTGCTGCAGTACTTGTGATTGCTATTCTGTAGTTATTAGGAGCAGTACTGCTGCATTAATTTGAACAGCACTATAGTACGGTTAGTAGTACAATTAAATACTGCCAGAGAACTCTATATTGTTGCTTCTGCTTTATGGGTAAAAGGCATCAATGGTTTTCAACACCAGCTGTCATTCTACAACGCATTATTTGCCTTATAAGTTGACTCTGTTGGAGGATTTTCCACTCTAATTTGATTGATTTACATTCACGATCCAACTTTTTTGAATCCTTACCTAGCATTTTTTTTGAGACATATATTCAAAAATATTGATCTACTACTCTCTCTGGTTGGTTCTTTTAGATAAAATTTTACATTGTGATATTGCAGACTATGCTTGCAAAGGCGGTTGCAACAGAGTGCAAGACCACATTTTTCAACATTTCAGCATCATCTGTTGTCAGCAAATGGCGCGGTATGTCACATTGAGCAGTTCTGTTACGGTCATCCTTGTTTGATAACAATAGATCTCACTGAACTTCAGTATTATGTTCTATGGACCTTATGATACATTTTCTCTTTAGTGTGAATTTATTTCAGATTAGTTTCTGTTTATAATTAATATTACTCGATACAACCTTTCATGGCTTGAGTCTGTATATCTGAATAAACAACCCCATGATATTAAGAGTCTGAGCCACACATTTTCTAATCTCCCATTCCATCAAATCAAATGGGCGCAACTAATGAAGCCCTTGAAGCACTATAGTTGAAGTATTGACATGACATCTGAAGGGTGGAATGGTGTCAGTGTTTTTGTAGGTGACAGGCTGATACGTGGGTATGCAAATCCACTTTTAGGACCAGAAGCTCTCTGAAGTGTTCTTTGATTCCTTGCCATGCCTTTTTGATTAGGTTGGGTAAACTTTGAAAAATCCATGTGGGGGTTGTTGTTGGAAAAGTGGTCATTTCTAAAGCTTTGTGAGGCCCACTGATATAACCGGTAACTTGTTTGACGTAGAATGGGCAATGCTGAACAGAGGCTAGATTTTTAGCTTTTCTGTTTACGTTACATAAACCTGAAGCTTCACGTGAGTGAAAACTTTTTGGAAGCAAAACCTTTGGAATCCAGAAGGAAATACATCACAATCTTCTGTCAGGAAATACAACTACCGGCTGCTGTAGGGTCCTTCAAGTTTTCCATCTCTCTCTCTCTCTCTGTGCCAGGTCTACTTGGAAAGTTGGGTTTAGCTCAACACATTATCCACCACTTGGAGCTGAGACCTGGAAAGTTTTATCTCTACTTGTCACAAAGTTTGTTATGTAGCTAGTCTGTTGTATCAATTTTCTGGGTATTAGTAGTATTGTGATATAGCCAGAAGGCAATGTGTGGTGGGCCATGTTAAAAAGCTCTAGAAACAACTATTGCATAAACTCTCTGACAGTTAATTTTTTGAGAAAATAAAATGGAAGTATAGGTGTTCACTATTAGGGATCATTGCATAGTGCAGTGGTAAAACCCACGAGCTATAACCTATAAGGCACAAGGTTGTGGGTTCGAAAAGGGCTTTCATTTTATCAAATAATGCCAAGGGATCAGTCTATATCCAATCCACTGCCAACTCCTAGCATCTCCCATTAACATAAGCTAAAAAAATTGGGTAATAGCTTTTTCAGATATTCAAAGCTGTTGGAAAAACTGCAAATACTCTTTTCTCATTTTACTCTTCTTTTACTGAAGCAATAGTCTAGAGTTCCTTGGTAATCGATGTTATATGACAGTTAATTGCTGAGCAGCTAATCCGTGAGCCAGTCTGTTTTCTGGTTCATTGGATGTTTCATCTTGCAAAATATTGGATTTGACAAATAGCACTTACCCAATTTTGCCAGTTATATAATTTCAATTATGTGATATCCACTTTTATCGTTGGAAAACAGGAAGTTATTAGATTAGCATAAGTGTATCGTTCTGTCTGTATGACACTAACAGGTGATTCGGAGAAGCTAGTTAAAGTGTTATTCGAGCTTGCTAGGCATCATGCTCCTTCAACTATATTTCTTGACGAAATTGATGCAATCATTAGTCAACGTGGTGAAGGACGCAGTGAGCATGAAGCAAGTAGGCGTTTGAAAACTGAGCTACTCATACAGGTAATATTTGGTTTGGATAGTGCATCTATGTAGATAGACACATCATATAAAAATCTAAAAAATAGCAACATCAACACTTCAGCAGTTGGATAAGTCCTACTGTCTGAAAGTAATATCTCCTCTGAAATTTGTGATTTTGTTGAATTTTGTGCCATGACTTTTTTTTATTTTCTGGGGGAGGGGACTTGAAACCTAGACCTTAAGAAGGCAGGCAAGAAGTACCATGAGACCAAAGGCAATTGGAACTGTAGATGCAATTTTGGAAATTTATGCTACTGAACTTCTTGATTCCTTTCATAATATAAGTGTAAGCCTTTAAAACTGAATTCTTTCAAAGTTCTAATTTGATCAATGCAAGTCCAACCAAAGTATTGGAATGAGACAAACTTTTATCAATAAAGCCATCCCTATCTGAATAAGAGCAATAACAAATTATAATATATATATACTAATTGGTACACATGTGCGTTGCACGTGGATCAATTTGTTGCAATAAACAAACAACTATAATAACATATATATTGACGGAGCCCAACATTAGATGAATCCAATCATAAAATTGTCTCCATTGACAATTATAAATTGCGTAACATGCAATTGTTCTTAATATAAGCAGAAGGAGATCAAAATTTAAAAAAAATAAAAATAGCTTTGAACTTCTACCTACTTTTAAGAAGATCATTTAAGAATAACTCTTTTCTTCATTATAATGGTTGTAGAAATATAAATGTCAAGAATGACCTATAACAGAGGAATCCCCTTGACCATTTGTGTTGCTCATGTATAGGTGAACCACATGTAACTTCAAAATTCAATGTTCTTATATTAGACAAATGGCAACTCCACACAAACATGTAATTACAAGATGGTGATATGCAAGGTCATGTAATTAAAGTCATACTAAAGGATTAGAGAAGGAAATGCCAGCTACGTTCATGATCTTTGGTATACATTGTTTCTAATGAAAACAAAAACAAAGCACTAAATGGCAATTGTCTAACCAAAATGGTAAATTGAAGTATTGTTACATAAATATTTATCATGGGCCTTACAGTTTACATTACCCTTCATAAACAGTTAGTACTCTGCAAATATAGTTATTCCTGTGAAAGCAATACAAAAACAATTATTATAGTAATACGTTTGGACCAATAATCAGGGTAGATGATGATCGTGGTCCTAATAAGGCACCTATATTACGAAGTTATCTCACAGAGTAAAAAAAATTTCTAACAATACGATCACATTGATCAATTACAACTGCTTGAAGTCACACTTAAGAACACATATATTAAGATATGAAGGCACATACACAAAAAATTCAAGCACATAAAAAAAAATTCAAAATTTTTGAATCCAAAAAACACTTAACCGCATAGTATATCATAATCACAATAAAGAGAACCAATATATATAGTAGCTGAAAAATTATAGAAGACAAGAAAATACAAAATTTTGATGGTTTTAAATTTTGTCATTCAGTAGTTCATGCCCATTAACTCAAGTCCTAGATTTGGTAGAGTTAATATACCTATGTGACTCGATGTAGTTACTAATTCAATGTACAACTATATAGAGTAGAACAACTGCTGTCTAAAAGTAATAGGGACTTTTCAACAAATAGCGTGCTCTATGGACATAAATATAATTTTCATGTCAACTTCTAGAAACATGGCCTCCTCGAAGACGCAAAGAAGAAATGTAAATTGTATTTTACAAATGTTCTCAATTGTATATTTTGATCTCTCCAGGTGGTAGACCACTCATGATGAGAAAGCTGTGTGAATTTATCAAGAAATGGAACAAGAGTTGAGGCAGTCCAATGATTGCCACATAAAATTTGTACCTGCTATAAAACAAACTGAAGCTTAGAAGTTTCTCCACACACAGTTGCAAATAAGAACTTGTTGCAACAATCTAAACATTTTTAGTTTCTCAAACTGTGACAAAGAAACCGAGGTACCTTACACACAAATGATTTTTTTACTGCTCTCCGAGCCTTCTGCTAGTTACCCAATTGAAAAGGAGACCTCCTTATAAGTACTTAGATGTCATGAGCAAACTGGAAAACAAAATTGACTACATCATATTTTAGGAGCACAAAACTAAACAACCAAACCAAACAAATTGATTCACATCCATATTTTCCACCTTACTCTAGATATGCACTCCTATAAGCATATATTGATAACACTCCATCAACAACACATAAAAATTTGACACTTAATTTGCAGCATTCATAATTCTCTCTGAATTTCTCTCTAACCATTAATATACAAGAATAATTCAACAAATTAAAATTCATATTTCATGTCAGAAATGGCATGTTCCCTAATTCTTTTGGAATAATCATTGGAACTGATTATTACCGGAAAACATACAAAGTAGTTTGACATAGCTACAATCCAAGTACTTTGACAAAGCTAAAACCAAAACATTCGGATTTTACCTTCTCTTCTACAACAGGAATGACATCACCAGCACAAGTAGGAATGGCAACAAGTTTGGCATCAACAAAAGATGGACCACTAGAGCAACGTACATTATAATTGATAAGAGAACGTCCTCTGTAATTACGAACAATAGTAAGCTAGAAAAATTTTTGGGAGCTCTGATCACTAAACCCAAGACTCTTAAGAAGATTGTTAGATTTGGGGTGAAGAACGAGAGAGAGAGGGGCAGATAGAGAGAAAAAGGCAGAAGATTAGACTATAATTAAATCTAGAAATAGAGAGGATGAAAGACTATAATTAAATTATGATTAAAGGACGCGAGAGAGAGAGAGAGAGAACCAAAAGGATGACCTTCAACGTATTAATATCCAGCAATGAGATTTGGTAATTAGCTTATGTTTAAGGAATGGCAAAGGGAACAAGGCATATACGTGTGATGATGAATTATATTACTGTAAAACATCATTTGGTCAAATTGGCCAAAGAAAAAAATGAAAGTAATCAACAATCTCCGATACGTACCCACTATGAGTCTTAATTGCCTCAACCTAATCCACAAGTAGAACGTAATCATGTCCCCCCGAACCATAGCGGGTTTGAGAAATGACAAAATTCTGAGGATCAATACCTCCGCTTAGTGTGCGTACGGGGCCGCAAAGCCAATTGGCGTCGTATATCTGTGGTGAACCCTATGAATCTTCTCGTACCCCTACTTGCAATGCAAAAATCGATGGATCCAGTCAGTGTTTTGAAAAGCTCGCCTAGGCGCTCGCCTAGGCGAGAAGCGAGGCGAGGCGAGCTTATCTCGCCTGGAGGACCCCAGGCGAAGCGAACGTGAGTGAAGCGAGAAAAAAGCGAGAAAAAGCGAAGAAGCGAAAAAAGCGAAAAAGCGAACGCTTTATTATAAAAAGCGATTCTGCTTCAATTTTTTTTTTTTTTTTTTTTCTGATTACAGGTTAGTAGTGTCTTTTATTTTTTAATCACTAATGACTTTTTTTTTAGACTATTGTTGGTCTATGTTTTTTTTTTTTAATAAACAATGTTTCGAACAAAATACATTCCTTTTTTTCCTTGTGATGCTGAATTCATTTAGAATATTTGTGGAATGTGGGAGTCAGGCGACTGCACTGCATGACAATTATGATAAAAAAAGAAGCATGAGTATCCGAAATGGGAGTAAATAATAGATTCTTCTACAAATAAGTGTCTCTGATATGTCTTGGTTATACTTTTTCCTATTCTTATATATATACAAATGGTACCAAAAAGTGGTCTATGCTTATACCATGTTTAATTATTTTAGTACATGTGAAATGTGCCTCTGTTCTGCTTTTTTTTATTCAATATATAATTACATATGAAATTGTTTACAATTGATTCTGCTCCTGTCATGATCATTGTGCTTCTGTTTTTTTTTAACTCATTCTGCTTCTATTTTTTTTTGTTGATTCTGTTGCTGCTTCGGTTTTGCTGTCCTGTGTTGCTTTTATTTTTTTTATCCTCATTCTACTTCTTTTTTTTTTGTTGCTAATTCTGCTGTTGTCCTGATTCTGCTTCTTTTGTTGTCCTACCCTGTCAATATGAAAATGTATACAATTGTTAGTATTTGTTTGAATTTAAATGTTTAAGTTATGACTGTTATTAAGATTTGAGATATTATTAGTATTTTTTTTAATTTAAATGTTTATGGTTTTACTTGCATTTAAATATTTAGTATATATAAATTAGAACTTAGATTGTTTAGAAGTAATTAAACTAAAATATATATTTTTTTTAACTGTTCGCTTTGCTTCGGTAAAGCGTGTCGCTTCGCTTCTCGCTTCTCGCCTAGGCGTTAGGAGCCTTGGTCGCTTCGGTTCGCTTTACGCCTTAAATAACACTGGATCCAGTAATTGATGTAATAGTTAGCAATAAAATATATCGCCAATTGCATCACAATTTCCCCAACGACGGTAATGGCAGGCTCGTCCAAATCCCAATCATTTGCAAATTCACATGTGATTTACAAATATTGATACTAAAATCGACAATACAAGATTGAAAATGAGAAGCAATAATTGTTGCCGGAGTAATTACTTTGATTGAAGGGTATGAGACAAGTGGGAAAGGTTCGACAACGAGGATGAACATGAGCATTGCGTCTCTGTAATATTGGAAGGAATCAGAGCAGAAGAGCTTGACCTTGGGTTGGATTTTTTGTAACTAAATTACTTTAATTGAAGAAAATAGGGATAATGGGCGAAGGTGTAGAACCTAGGTTGTATGGAGAAGACCTTAAATCTTCCACTAAGAAGTTGTTGGGCCTCCAACGCAGAATAAAAGATAGATGGAGAGGGGAAGGTGAAGAGAAGGTTGTGCTGATTTTTGAAAACGCAGGGAGACGAAACAAGTAACGGCTGAGAGGAAGCACTTGAGAGAGAGATTAATGATTGAAAAATAGGGAGAGAGAGAGAGATGGGTGAGCTTGCTGTAAAAATGGAAAAAAATGTTTTTTAAGTATACTGACTTTTTAAAGTAGTGTATATATATATATATATATATATATATTTTTTTTTATAACAAATTATAATATATATGCTATGTAACTGAGGAACCGTACTAGCCTTATTTTTCTGGGGACCACAGCATACACCTACTTGTATGCCAGAGTGCTTTGGTGATTGACACCTACTTTACAACATTTTGTTTTGGAGAACTGGCAATAATCATTGTTTTCGTGAAATTGCTCCTCTCTCTATGGCTTCTCTTGTATTAGGCTTTGTTTATCATACTATCTTTTAAATTGGAATTGTTACTTACATCCAATCCATATGTATCACATTGAAAACATAGGTGATTTGGACAGAAATCAAGTGTGATTCGAGCTCAAACTTAATGGTTTGAATTAGATTGCAGATGGATGGTTTGACGCGGACTGATGAACTTGTTTTTGTTTTGGCGGCAACAAACCTACCTTGGGAATTGGATGCGGCCATGCTTCGTCGCCTTGAAAAGCGGGTATCCTTTTGATGGGCTATTGTGCACTTTCTAGCATATGCTGATTATAAGAAATGCATTAACAATTCCATAGATAAATCACAACTGACATGTTAAGAGTTTGAATGTATGTTAATAATGGCGAAAAAGTCACTGCATCTAGCTCAAAGTGACTAGTTGCTTGCACATGGTGGGAGTTAATTGACTCCTTGTGAATATTCTAAATGCCAAGGCAGGTCGCCTTCAAGATTTGGGTTCGGTTCCTTGCAAGCTTCACATACTTGTGGTTTGACAATTTTAGGGTTTGACTATTGTTTTATCTCATTTTTAGTTTTCTCACTTTTTTTTTTTGTGTATAGTGCTGCATATTTATCCTGATGGCATTCCATACGATAAGTGAGTGCATTGCAATAAAAGTTCACTTATTACCTTGAAAAGTTCTTCTTTAAAATTAATGTAAGATCCTGGTACCCCTGCCAGAACCTGAAGCAAGAAGAGCCATGTTTGAGGAACTGTTGCCATCAGTACCTGGTGAAGATAAACTTCCATACGATTTATTGATGGAAAGGACAAATGGTTATTCAGGTTCTGATATTCGTTTGGTTTGCAAAGAGGCTGCCATGCAGCCCCTGAGACGGTTAATGGGACTTCTTGAAGAAAAGCAAGAATTGGTGCCTGAGGATGGTAAGTTAGATTATTTTTCTATTATATTATTTGTTAATACTGTATGCAATTCAAGAGTTCACAGCTCCTATTCGAAAAATGTTCTGTGGAGTCAAGCAATTTCCACAAGGTGTAAAAGGGGAAGTATAAAGTAGAAAATGCTATATATTTTACCATGAGCATGCATTTAGATATTCATATATCTAGAAATCTGTCATAATGTTTGTCATTCTTTGTACATTGCTACCTTTACATACACTAGTTGATGCATACGTGCGTCGCACGCAAGGATTAAAATATCGTTTCAGCGTATTGTTTTGGTCACCTATGAATATGAAACGAAAACGTTTCAAAAATATTTTGAAAACGTTTCGAAACATAATGGAAACAGATAAAAAATTTAAAAATTTATTTTCAAAATATTGGTCTAAATATATCTAAACATCTTGAAACACCTTGAAATATTCTAAAACATTGATAGAAACATGCTAAAACATTTCGAAACAATTCAAAATATTCCGAAATACTTCAAAACATATCGAAGTACTGAAATTTTAATTCAATCAATGATTCGTTTCTGTTGCCTTAGAAAAAAAAATGTTTTTGCCGTTTCGAAATAATATTTTGATCCTTGATCACACGTGAATAATTCATAGTAGTAATTTTCTTATTCCTGGTGATATGAGGTTTTAATTTTTAGATTTATTTTTTTTGTTGTGTAGATGTGATTTTTGTTGTTTCCATTATTGTAAAAGACATCCAAAGGCCATGAAAAATTTAAGTAATGTGAAGGAACAAATATATGATTTGTAAATAACTGATAATCTGAAAAAGATCATGAATTTGAAGTTTTTTGCGACACCAAATACAGGAAAAATGGAGTTTACACTTTTTTAAAAGAATGTTTGTACAATTGTAAAGAGAAATTTTTGACATTATTTGTATAGAGTTAAAGATCCAAATTTTAATCACTATATCGGTGACCCCTATTAAACATAAATCTTGAAATGATTACGAAGTATATGAAAATAATATCTTGTAGTTCTGAGTCCATATTAATGTTTAGATAAAACAATCAGGAGATAATTGCACTGTTGTTGGCTTATTTGGATAGTCCTTTGGAAATTTCAATGTCAACTTGAACATACCTGGAAGCAAACAATACACATTACAACACAACCTTAAAACACTATAGATCCAAAATTGAAAGGCAGAAAAAGTTTGGCAAAAAACAATTCACATCCTTGTACTATTCGATTAACTTTTTCATTGGAACACAATGCAGGTCAATGTGTCACTGTCTTTGAAATGCTAAAAATTTTCAACTATTAATGTCTAACATATCACAAGTTAATGTTAAGAAGTGTCATATAGTAGTATCTTCACAACAATCTAGTCATGGCAAACATTAAGAAAAGAAAGTCACCTAGTGCTACAATGTTAGGAAGACATATTCTTTCAGAATCATACAAATGGGAGGTCCTCAATATGGGTATGCTCCTTCCTGCCCTAACCAAGGTGGGTGGCCCAAAGCCATTAAATTCAAAAAAGGAGTTCCTAGAATCTAATTTGGCCTTTGCTTAAAAAGGATCACATTTCTTTGTCATACCCACTTCTTGGTTTATGCTCAAACCCACAAATGTTTTCCAGTAACAACATTTCGAGAATGACCTTTAAATCTTCATTGAACAATTCAACAAGTTTCTCCCAAAGATACTAAAAGATCGTGTCAAAGAATACTAAACTTTTTACCTATACATTTTATAGAATCTATAAACCATTAACAGAAGCCATTCTCACATGAATTCGCTATCAATAGTGCCTTATCCAAACACCTTGCAATAAACAAACCAACTATTACCCTAACAAACTGTGCCTTCTTTTAAGTTTTACCCTTCAAACAAACTCAGAACTGCCGTTGACACAGTTCAAAATATTGCATAAACTCAAAGACCATATGGTAAAACTTCACAAACGACAAACCAACTAAAGCCCCACTTCGTATTTCATAGTTCAACATGAAGCAAAAACATGATGCGGTACCAAAAAATTGATGTGGCTGATTAGAATTCTTTAGGATTAGTGCCTACTATAAGAAATTGAAGATCAACATATTTAAATGGTTACTATAACGTAAGCAACTAAAAATAATGGGAGATAAACTCAAAATAGATACTACCAATGATAGCGATGCACATCCATTGTGATATATCTATATACATCTAAACAAAGTCTCTAATCTGAAGTTGCATTGGTAATGGTCAAATAACTTTCTCAAATTCTTGGACATTAAATGGAAATTTTGAAAAGAGCCGTGACTGATGGGGTGGCTGAAAATAGGACCATAAATGACACTAACCTCTCGTCAATAAATGATGGGGTCGTTGAAGAAAATCAGCTAGGCCTTCATCTACAGCAATATGATGTTCAACTAATGTGAGTGCGATTGCTCTTTTTTTTTTTTTGATGAACCAAAAAGACGGACTAATCATACCTCCTAGCAAAAGATGATAGATGCAGAGACAGTATGAAAGCATTGAGGTGCAACACAAAACAATTCACAAAAAGAATCCCCTTAATTGAAAATGAGAATTCCCTAAAACATGATTACATGTTGGACATATAAAGTCATTCAAATGCTGAGTTAAATTATCTTGATAGTACTTACTACTAAGTATTGATTGAAATAACAAAAAAGCTGATTAATTGAGCTTGTGACATGTCATACAAGGATGATTGAGTTCAAATTTATCTCTAATGCGTTTCAGCTTTTCCCACCAACTGATCGAAGGGTCAGGGCTTTCTTTAATCCCAAGTGCTTCTCAAGCAGCTCTGTCGTATCCTTGCTCCTGCCATTCTCATGTTACATGTCCTCTGAACCTACAATTTCCCTTCGAATTTGTTTCATTACCATCTTACAATTATCAAATGTTTCTAGTTCTACTAACTGGCTGCACACTGGCAAAATAGCTCATAAAACCTTTGATAATCATATCAGTGGTATCTACCAATTCAAACGCATATCACACCCAGTTAAACTGCAAGCATTCACCCTTTCCTACAAATAAAGTGATTATGTATAATCAATATAATAATATGAGCATATGCATGTGCGTGACCAAATAACAAAACCCAACAATTCACAAATCCAAACGACAAAATGCATATTAATATGTAACAAATAACCCTCAACAAATGCATATATGTACATCTGAAAAAAGCCGAGAGGCCCTAAGTGAGGATTTGAGCTCTTTCAAGGTTTTCCAGTAATTTGGTTTTGACTTCCCTCATAGAACATTGTCGAGGAGGTTTTCCAGCCAGCTATCACTGAATCTCTGAAACATATGGATCTAAAAACGAATCAAGGGCAATTGAAGAGTCTGCAACACTCTTGAGAGAGAGATAGGCCGACGGTGAGAGTGAGAATTTAAAACTTGTTATGGATATGAATAAAAGTACAGTTAAATTATTCAGGGAATGTATAAGGTTTGAAGGATAAGAGTTACATTATATTATTGATCACAGTTGAATTAGGCAATCAGAAGTTTTTACCAATAGACAAGTTGTACCTTCCTCTGCCAATCCCAACAAACCCTTGTTTGGAAAGTCCACATTCAATGGCGTGATTGTCGGAAAATCTTTGACAGGAAGAAGAAGCTGCCACATAACATGGATACAAAGATGAAATTAGACAGGGCAAAATTAAGAAGAGGAAGAAGAAAGAAAGGACAGAAAGTAGGTAGTTTTTCTGGGGGGTGGGACTAAGCTTAAGAAGATGACTCAACCCGTTATTCCTGGTGATAGAATTGAGAGAGAGAGAGAGAGAAATAGGGGAGGAGGAAAGAAATAAAACGAAAGGGCAGAAAGTGAAGACTCTTTAGTGAACATGGTTGGTTGCGAACATGCATCTTTTAGTTTCTCTGACCAACAATTTAGTGGGATGGTGGAAGATGAAAAATGTATTATAAATAGCATTTATAGATTCTTAGGATGTGTCGCATTTTATTTTTATGCTTTTTCAAGGGTAATAAGAGAAATTAAAAGTTTCTCATACTTCTTGACATTTAAAAGTAGTATAGAACTATAGATATAGATATATTCATTTAAGGCAAGAATAGTGTCTGTTGTTTTATCGTTTATATTCTCTTTTGGCAAGTTTGTACTGTTTGTATTCACTCTTGTTTGTTGGTGAAATAATCTGTGTTTTTGTTATAAATAATGGTTACTAGCGGTCTTCCCGTGCTATGCATGAAATTTACAATCTCTCTTCACCGCCACCCCTTATTCCAGCCCCACCCCCACCCCCACCATCACCCCTACCTTCCACTCTCACCCCATGCCAATACGACAAGAAGGATATTTATTTATGTACTAAACTTATATTTTAAAATTGTCTAAATTTGTAGTTAATAAAAGCAGTGAAAAATTCAAATGTGAAGTAGTTACACAAAATTGTTGAAGTTACATAGGCAACATTGAAGAATTCAATTAGAGGAAACCTATTCATTACTATTAAATAATTCAAAATTAGGAGAAAACAGGATTTATAGAGGAAAAGCTGCTCATATCCCCTCTCTCATAAATAAATTCTTTTTGTACATAGTATAGATATTCTTTAGCGGTAAGTTTGTTTGCATTTACTCTTGTTCGTTGGTGAATTAATCTCTGTTCTTGTTATAAATAGTGGTTAATATTTTTAACTTATCATTTGCACTGTTGTTCGTTAGTGCTGTCAGCAATTGCATCTTTGTCTCTCTCTCTCTCTCCCTCTCCCTCGCACTTGCACACTCCCCAAAATGTTTTATTTTCCTTTGTGGCCCTTCTTTTGACGCTTCTCTTTACTTCTCTCCTGTTGTACATGGATGTATTTGCATTCATATTTGGTAGTCTTTATATTATAGTAATTCTTGGCTTCTGGCTGATATGGACCACAATGGCTTTAGGGTTGGTTTTCAATTCGTTCCCCCTTTAGAGTGGACTTCTGTTTCAGGTTCTACAAAATTTAGCATCTTCTATGCTTCTAAATAGCCCAATATTTACCTACCTTGTCAGCCACAGGTCACACTATAGTCTGCCCCTAGAGATCTCTTTCTTCTACAGCCCATTCGAAATTGCACCTCTTGTACTTTGCTAACTCAATTTCCTCTGCATGCAAGCATTGTTTGCATTACTTCAGATGCATTCATCGCGGTTTATGCACCCATAGTTTTCTGTATGTTTCCTGAAGAGGAAAACAACTCACTGTCTTCTAAGATAGCTAGGCAATTGAACAAATTTATCCAACAAATGTCCAGGCAATGTACTTTCCTCCAATACTGGGAGCTATATCATTTTGTTAAGTACTAATTTTGAATCTTTGATGCTGTACTAAACTGGGGTCATTGGCATCCAGAGTTGCCAAAGGTCGGACCAATTACAGATGAAGACATAGAGGTGGCTTTAAAGAACACAAGGCCCTCTGCTCATCTTCATGCTCATCGTTATGACAAGTTTAACGCAGATTATGGCAGCCAAATACTCCAGTGAAGGCGCACAGCTGTACAATTTACAGTTCCTTTGAACTCTTTCCAACTTCCCTGTAGTCATTCATCAATTTAATGTCCAGGTGTTCGAGATCGCGTGGATGCAACTGTAAATGTTTCATATAACTGTTTTGACGGTCCAAACTTTGTGAATAGAGAGATTGTGCCTAACATTTTTTCAGAATTCTTTTTTATGATTTCTCAAAGGGATGGTTATTTGAGCATTGGTTTTAGAGAGAACAAATCCAAGCAGAAAAAAAAAATCTTTGAATGGGAAAAAGCTTGAAAGCATGGACGTTTATTGTGTTGTAGTTTTTCTGAGAAATCATGGAAATATTTGTTCTGTGTATTAATTGTTTCTGTTCAGTATTTCTGGAGATACGGTCCCCAAGAAATATGTCGGTAACATAACAAAAATGATATGTAGCCGTACATTTTGGTTTGATTCATTTGTAGCTGTCGATTGTGAAAATAAGATAATTTTACATGTGTTACGTTTTTTATTGAATGAAAGTATGTATTAAAAAAAAAGATTTTCGGCACTATAGTTGGACCCGTATTGTTGGTGATACTTGGTAAAAGCCGATTGTGGTAGTGTATGAATTGTTGCTGTGAACTGATCTGAATTATATTCATCTGCCCTTGGTAGTGAATGGAGTATCATATGGAAACATTACCAATGGCCTGATTGCTACAAGAGTTATCCTTCAATGGCACAATGGTGGGTTCTAATTAGGGGTGGTTATTGTGTCGTGTTTGGATTTGGGTTCAAGACACATCAACCTAAACTCTTCAATCTTGATCATTTCCATCATCTGATTCAGCTTCATGAACACATTGGATATAAGTGGCTTAATAAAAATATCTGCAATCTGATATTCAGATTGACAATATAAAATTTTAATCTCACTATCAATAACCAAGCCACAAATATAATGATATTTTACATGAATATGTTTGGTCCTCCCATGAAAAATTGGATTTTATGACAAAGTAATAACTGACTTGTTATCACAGAAAATCTTTGAAGGAATATTTTGTCCGCGTTGCAAAAATTTAAGTATACCACACAATCACACTGCTTGGGTAGCACAACTGGTGATTGCATTATACTTTGATTTAGTGGTAGAAAGAGCAACAACTTGTTTCTTCAAAGACCAGAAAAAAATTCTTGAACTAATTTCAAAACAATACTCTAAAGTACTTTTAACTTTTTCTACATTACCTCCTATTTGTTTATATCCATTGTAGTATATTCTAACCTCCGAACATCATCTCTCAATGCGTATAGTTTATGTGCGAAGGGGAGTGTCACTCTCCTTTAGAGTGATGTCAAAAGAAATGATAGCGGAATGATAGGTGAATGAAATATATGAAATGTGTGTGTGTGTGAACAAAAATGCTTCTCAAGCGTAGAGAGACTTTTGCTTGTCGTGTTTTACTTGAAATCGTATTCCAAGGTCGTCTCCTCAGGGAAGGAGGTGTATCATCATGAAAGTGATTTTTATAAAAACAAAGGGTAAAATCTTTTGTTGGTATTTCAAAGTAAGTAGTGATATAGACCAAAGAGACTAGAACTTTTGAGATTTAAAGTGATGATCTTTATGGATTTTTATGGCCCGAATAAACAATTCTTTCTACTAGGATTTTCTAAACAAAATATAAGATAATTTCAAATGTAAAAAGTCATCCTTTAGTTTGATGATCTGGACATGTAGTCAATCATTCGATTTATTATACTTGTACTTGAGAATGCTATTTAACCACCGTGTCAACATAAAGTTAATCGGAAGATAAAAATGGACTGTGAGAATTAATAGCATGATTCTGATGTCTTTGTAGAAGTTTACAAGAATTGTCTGTGCCCAGACTCAACCCGTCTACAAACAAGCAAGTGTTTCTACAAAGTATCCGACCATTGCATTAGTTTTCCATTCTTTAAATGAAGCACAATAATGGTGAAGATTGAAGGTTAGTCATGAAGATCTAATCGGGGTACTTGCCTTAAACCAATGAGTCTTTCTATGCAAGAGTCATCTGTGTCATAGAAAGTACTCACGGTTATACAAAGTACCTTAACTTTGCTAGATGCATTCAATCATTCAACAAGCAAACGAAATATAAAGTATTAAGCATAAACGAAATACACAAATATAACTTCCGGATGATTTATACATATCCATCACCTCTAGCTAAAGAATGAATGAGAAACTACTCACTTTTCATGGCTTTCGTAAAGCTAGAAAAGTGGGTGATGCTCATCCCTCCAAATAGAGGAGTTACAAGGTAAAACACATTACACAAGGAGCCGATCTTCGACAAGAATGAGTGAATCACGGTCCACCCTTCACGGCTTTGGTAAAACTTTATAAAAGTAAAAGAGTTTCACTCCTTCAAGGGAAGAAGGAAGCCCAAACAACAAAAGTAAAACAATAATACAATAAAAGAAAACAATACTTAAAGTAAAAGAAAACAATAAATTAAAAGAAAACAATAATACAATAAAAATAATAATAATTACTTTTGGAGGGTTTTTCACTACCAAAAGATGGAGATTTACAAGCCCTAAGGGGTGGTATTTATAGACAAAAAGGGAGAGCTTGAATTACACTTTAATCCCCTTTTATTTTGAGCTTTGATAATTTGCACCCTAGTAGTTTGTAGTTTTGATAATTGACATCCCAGTAGTTTGTATTTTTGATACAATTGAGACTCTAGTAATTTGTAGCTTTGATAATTGGCTCCCCAGTAGTTGTAGCTTTGATGCACAAAATCCTAAAAAAAATAACAATTAATTTATTATCTCTAATTCACACACTAACCCTAATTTGACTAGTTTAACTAACACAATTGACCTATTAACTTAATTAAATTGTGCATTAATTAAGGTTAATCACCTCCCCAATAACTATCTGTATACCCTGCAAGTTCACTAGAATCAGTAGGAGAATAAAAAATACCATCACTCTGGGTACCTTTAACATACCTCAAAATCCTTTTAGCTACTTGTAAATGGGATTGACGTAGAGACTCCATGTATCTGCTAATAAGACAAACTCCAAAAAAAATATTAGGTCTAATAGAAGTCAAATAACGTAAACTTCCTATCAACCGTTTGAAATATGTGAGATTTACCAACTCACCATTCCTATCTTTACCCAATTTCAATCTTTTTTGAATTGGAGTCAAAATAGGATTACAAGAATTCATTTTGAACAGTTTAAGGATATCTCTGGAATATTTCTGTTGGGAAATAAAAATTCCACTGTCTATCTAGTTAACCTTAATTCCAAGAAAATAGGACATCAAACTCATATCAGTCATCTCAAATTGAGAAATCGTTGCCTCCCTGAATTTCTCAATTAACTTCAAATTATTTCCTGTGAGATAAGATCATCAACATACAAACACACAATAATAATATCTCCATGAAAATTAGTTTTAACATACAAAGTGTGTTCATAGGAACATCTTTGAAAACCATTCTCCACAAAATAAGAATCAATATGAATGTACCAAGCTCTAGGGATTTTTTTAAGCCCATACAAAGCCTTGTTCAACATATAGACTTTGTTTTCCTCCCTTTTATTCACATAACCAATAGACTGCTCAACATAAACTTCCTCTCTAAGGACACCTTTTAAAAAAACACACTTCACATCCATTTGAAATAGCTTCCAAAAATTATTTGTAGCAAGAGAAATAATCATACGAACAATATCACGCCTAACAATAGAAGCAAAAACTTCAAGATAGTCAATACCTGATTTTTGTTTGTAACCTTGGCTGCCAACCTTGCTTTGAAGCGATCCACCTCTTTGTTTAGTGTGTATTTGGTCTCGTACAACCATTTAAGTCTAATAGCTTTCTTTCCCTTGGGAGGAGAACTAAGTTCCCATTACAGAGTTTGTGTCCCGGTAAACATGACCCACTTGCCTAACACGACCCAACCCAACCCAAAACGACCCAATTATTAACACATTTAATAAACAATCCATCAATCTAATTGTAAGACGATAAAAGAATACCTCTTAAGCTCTAGTAAAGAATTACACTTATTGGAAGTTGCTTCCATCCTGTAGAATGTCTCATGCAAAAAGGAACAAACTGCTTAGGACCGAAGTGCTTTGATCGAAGGTACTTTGATACTTAAATCAGTAAATGGCTATAAAAAGAAATGTATATCACAGGGTTCAATGTACCTCTCAACATGCACCCTTGTTGCTTTATATAGGCTTCACATTGAGTCAAGGATTCTCTTTACTGTTGTGGGAGATGACACATCTCTCTTTCTTTGAGTGTTTGTTGGGAGTTTTGCAAGGATTTCTCTAACGTTCCCTCAATCATAGCTCTTTCGAGAGAATGACTCCACCTAGCTATTACACCTAAATGCCTTGATTATAGGCAATTGACCCGTTGTGCGGTTTATGCCACGCCTTTAGGCCGTGCTGTGCTCTCTTATTCGACAGCATGTGCTAAGCTGTTGCAACTCAGTTCGGTTGCTCCAAACTGCTGATAATTTTACGCACATGACATGTCTCTTTATAACTACGTGCTTATTTTACCTGCTAATCCACGTGGCATAATTTTATACCCTTTCACTGGCTCCTATAAAAGGCATGTCAGCCTTCTTTCGCCTGACAGTGGTTTCATGTCTCCAGATTCATCTTTGCCTGGGGTTCTCGAGACATGTAATGTACTCTGCATTGTATTTTCGCATTAAATATTTGTCCTTTGGCTTCCTTTTTAGTTTTCGCTCCTTCCTTTAAAAGGGGGTATAACATAACTTAATCATTGCTACTTCTCCTCAAGAATTCTAGTTTTACTTGCTCTCTCGTTGTCCTACTTGTTTGTTCTTCATCTCCAAATGGCTCCTCTTACCAAAGAAGGTATCCCTACTTTCAAAATCAAGTATAACATTCCTGAAAATGTTGAAATCCGAATAGTTGGCACCAATGAGCCACTAATTGGCACAAGGGAGTCGATTCCCATCTACACAAGGGC